TTGTTTAACGAGCTAATGCCATTAGCTCGTGCCCTTCATCTGATCATCGAGGCGGGTGACTGGAAAAGGACCCAGGGGAACCACGAGGTGGAGAATACATTGGATAGAGCAAGGGGGGTGTCTAGGATTGGTGTGCTTCTGGGCTTGAACGGCCTTTCCTGTGTTGATTGGTCAACCTGTTGTGGTAAACCCTTTTTAAGTTGAAAGGTAAGCTTATTTTTAGGAAGTCCAAGATCAAAAGTATCTAAATAATGTCAAAATTCCATAACTTCAGTACAGTGTTTAAACAAATATGTAGGCACAGTCAATGAAGTATTGCAAATGTCATTTTTATCCAGATTATGCTGTGTGGACAGTCCCTTCCCATTATCCTCTGTCCACTCTCTGCCTGAAGGGTCATCCTGTTGTAACTCCTCATCCTCAGCTTCTCCCAGAACTGCCTCAGGGTCTTCTATCTCACTTCCCTCTTCTAGGTCTAATGCATTGGGCTTTGTTTCTGACAAAGCTCAGCCATCCTCATTCCAAAGTTCTAAGCAACAATCTCCCCTTGCTGTGGACCTGTAGCTGCAGACATGTCTTTAGAATTTAGTGAATCATGTCACAAATTTCAGTTACCCACATTTTCTTATTAGCACCTCAAATAAGTACCTTCACAGTACATTTCATCTACCTTTGCATCTTTGGTGCCCTACACACATAGACACTCAACAGGCTTTGTGAGAGACAAATTGAAGGGATGAATAACATAGCTATGATTTCAGCACCTGTGAAAAATGAAAAAGACATGCAACCTCCAGGGTCTTCTTCCAGCAGATAGCAACTCCCACAAATTTTATGGGAGACCAAGAATATAAACAACTCTTTTCAGATCTTTATTTTTGCTTGTTTGTTTGTGTGTTTTGTGTGTGCGTGTGAGTGTTGCAGACATGCCTGTGCACCTGTGTGTTCAGGTGGCTTCCAAGACTGAAAGCACGTATTGAATTACCACAGCTGAAATCACAGGCAGTTGTTAACCTCTCAACGTTCTAGAAACCGAACTCCATTCTGTTTTTAACTGCTGAATCATCTCTTCACCACACCTTTCCCCATTTTTTAGAGATTTTTAGTTTTTACCTTTCAGACTTTTCTGTCAGTAACTTTAGACATTTTATTTATAATTTTGAATACCATATAGACCAAAAAGTTTTGTGTTCCAAGTTTACCAGCTTTAAATTTCTTTGTTTGGAAATGGTTATATTTTTTTAAATTAGCAAGTGAATACGTGAAATGCCATTTGAAAGAAAATGCTTTGTATGGCTGCCTCTGCACTGGGGGCCAACAATAACTTACTGAACAGAGTTGGATGAGCTGTACAGAAACAGTGAGTCAAAGATCTTTATTTTTATCTTTGCCCAAGAACAAAAGTATGGAACATAATATCCAGATGGAAAGTGAAAAAATATCATTGTCATTTTAAATGAAAAAAGTATAATCTTTTTTGACAAAAACATGGAAAATACTGGAGGTAGGCACAATTCTTTATAATAGAAAATTGACCATATAGTTAGGAGAATGAATTTGTTAGTTCCATAGAAGAAAGTTCACTACAAGTTTCCACTCATGAGAGAAAAGTCCTCTTCTGATTCATGACCCTTAGGTCCGCCACTGGACCTCAGGATCGTGATTCATTTGAGAACATCTCTAAACCAGGGAAGTAGTACATCTGCCCCAGAGTCCCCTATGGCCCCATCCTAAACAACTTCCCAAGAGCACAGGAGTTGTCCCTCTAAGCCTGGACAGATGCATTGCAATCACTCTTTTCTACAAAGACCATTTCCAAATTGAACAGAAAAATGAAGGAATGAGAAAGCTTTTAGAGAAAGAACATCATTCTGTCTTAAAAAGGAAATACATCTGTGCTGGAGGAAAGTGCCTCTGTGGCAGCTACGGAAACCGTGTTGTTCTTCCCAGTGACAGCTCAGTGTGGAGGCTCTTTCACCCTGTGGAGGGATCCTCAGAGTCTCTTCTGCACAAAACACTACTGGTCCAATGCCACGGGCTCCCATGGGCTCTCCGTAGTTCCAGCTCCTCCTCCTCGGGCTGCAATTCTTCATTTTTATCTAGGTACCCACACACTTTGATTTTTGCACTGATCTCCCACTGTGTGAGCTGATTTCCAAGCATCCTCTCATTATTTCTAACTCCAATTCTCCAGCTCTCCCCTACCCCCATCCTGAGCAGGAGCACTGGCAAGGCCTCTTAAATCAGACATCTACATTCTTATTCCTCTTTCCACACATCAGACACAAAACATGCCTTTTTTTCTTTGTTTCTCCCAGGGCTTTCCAGTCTTCCACTTTTTAATAAGAAAGAAAGAGGAAAAAAAGGGCCTATGTAGCTGATTCTTCCCATATAGTTTTCGGCTATATATAAATCACCAGTCCAAGAAATATTATCTTAAACTTAAGGGTTTGATAAAATATAAATAACTACCTTGAACTTTGGATTAAATTTTATTATGCTGGAGAAGTATGCAAATTCCAAGTAACAACTCAAGAGAAAAGAAAAATGAACAGGGCCACTGGTTTTTCAATTATTCTAAAGAACCTTACATCAAAGTCACTTTGATTTAGGGACTTCAAGGATAGAAATTCCACTTATGGAAGGGCCACACAGGCAGCACTGCTGATAAAACTATTCAAGTATTTTTAAAGAAAGATTAGCCCTGGATCTTAACTCTCCTACAGCTTGCTAGGATGATCTTAGTTCCATTTAACCTTCAGCAGTCAGCTCCTTTGCTCCCAGGCACCAAATGCTCACTTACATCGAATACGAGCATAACCCTGAAAATTCTCTCTTAGGTACTCTTTATTCCTCTACCAAGGTAACTGATCCGTTTGATTGATGTCTTTAGTCCAGCATGCATAACACATTTCAGAAGCCTAAAGTTTACTCCTGTGCTTCCAAGTCATTCTTCCCAGAGCTTCTGTCTGCCTTCCCTACATATGCTCTGTTTCTGTGCTATGACAAACTAATGCTCATATGCTGAGGAAACTTTCCTAGCATTACTACTGCTGTTGCTAATGTCATTTTTCACCCTTCCCTTTGAGTGCATCAAAAAGCATGTCCCCTTTCACTTCACAATTAACGCAGCAGGTCATTTAATGCTATCAGGCTCAAATTCCCCTGCTTTCCAGCCTACCTTTGTAGCTTACACACATTGATTTCCCACTCTTAAAAAGCTCTAAAACTGTGTTTTATCTCCAGAGCTGTGTTCTCTGACCATCATTATTTGCATTTATCCCTTTTGCAAATTCTCCAACTGTGGGTTCTGGTCCAGCCTCTACTCTTAAGCCCAACACTAGTTTCATGTCTCACACTCTCCAAAGGAATTCTAGCCCCAACCTCAAACTACACATCCAAAATTCAGTTCACCAAATGTCCCCTCAAATAGGATCCCTTTTTACTCAACTGATTTGAAATATGTAAGAATCAAGCCTGAGAGATATCTTTAACCTTGCCCTGCCTGCCTTTTGGTGGTTCTGGTCTGTCACCTTACAGAACCATCATTTCATTTATATCCAGGTGATCGCTCAGGTGTACACTCTTACCACCTCACATACAAACTGATCTTCCGGTCAGGTATCTCTCCTTCAACCAAGTCTAAGCCTGTGGAAAGAATGGTTTCATTGACTCATTCCATATCCAAGAATCTTCAATGGTTTCCTCACCGTCAGTTGTACTAGAAACCGATTCTACTAACTTTTATAGATTCCCCTCACAGTGGGGCTATGCTCAGCCATTGTCTACTTACCCAGTGTTCACCATACTCTCTGTGAGCTCTGCCTACATTGCCTTTCATGTCTGTCTCATTGTCACTGAGTCTTACATGTTTTTCTGATTTCAGATTGAGCCTAAGCTCTGCCTTTCCAGAAAGCATTTTGTTAATTCCAGATCCTGTGATTCTTCAATTATCATTGACAAGCAAATACTCAGAGCACATCTGTTCCTCTTCCATGTTCTGGACTGCACTAGGACATTGTTCCACTCATGGCACTCATGGCAACCCTTCCACAAGTTCTTGATAACCAGAGCACAGATTGTTCTCCTGAGAGAATAGACTCCAGGCACCCCATAATGTGAAATTCCTCAGAGTGTGTGATACTGCATGTCATTTCTAGCTCTGGTGCTGATGAAACCAGGTGGTTCCTATTGAAAATAAAGTCTCTGCTGCTGGACTCCCAGTCAATCCAGATCCTATCCATACAGCCTTTGAAGTTGATTTTACTATTCCAGCCCCCATTCCCCACCTTAGCCAATCCACTATATTAGGCATGCCTATTATTCCCTTTAAAATGGATTAAATACAGTATTCAAGCAATCTGAAAGACTTCAGTAAAAATAAACTTAATAAAATTAGAAGGAAGGAAATCATAAAAATAGAAAGTAATATAATCAAATTAGTAAACAAAATCATATTAAGATTATAAATTAAAGCCAACAACTGGATCTTTGGGAAAATTATAACAAATCTAATGAAAGAAGTTAAGCCACATGTCTGCAATATAAAGAGAGAGAATATAAAGCAGATAAGGAAGTGTTTGTAATCATTTTCAAGAATATTTAACTCTTTATCAGCCCTTCTCAACGGGTCCCAGCTTTCAGCCATAAACTGTCCCCCCGAGAGTCTTTAATGAGGGCTATTGCACAACACTTCAGAAGGGCTTAAAAACACAGTTACACAGCCGGGCAGTGGTGGCGCACGCCTTTAATCCCAGCACTCGGGAGGCAGAGGCAGGCGGATCTCTGTGAGTTCGAGGTCAGGCTGCACCAACAGCCTCCAAAGCAATACAGAGAAACCCTGTCTCGTAAAAAAACAAACAAACAAAAACAAAACAAAAAAACCACAGCTACACAAATCTTTGTTTGGAAAACTGATTGGCTGAGATCATGATGAAAATAAAACCATTTTGTGAAAAATAAATAAATGACTAAACACGGCTCAGGATTGGGAAACTTACTTAGAGAAAAATCATAGAAGAAACTGAAAGACTCCAAAGCTGATCTCGGGCCGCTGATTGTGAGGAGAAGTCCTTTCAAGTCTTCATGGAACATAAGCTTGAAGAGCAGAAAAGGGTATAAAACACCAACTGTATTTTAGGAAGCTAAACAATACCGTGGGCCAAAACATGTTGAAAGGCAGAAAATAGCAAAATCATGACGTTGTCTTATCTGTAAGTATAGATTCACAAACCCTAAAAACATGAAGCAGTTGAAACAAAAACATCCACTCTATGACATAATATAGCAAAGCATGTCTAATAATAAAAATAGAGCTTAAGTTAGAAAAGCAAATTGGTTTATTGTTCAGAAAATAGTTCGTTCATATATTTTTAAAAATCAAATAAATTTAATTGGTGCTGTGTTTTTGAAAGTGACATCATCCTTACCAGGAAGATTAGCACAGCTCTTGGGTGCTGGAGAGATGGCTCAGATGTTAAGAGGCTGTTCTTCCAGAGGTCCTGAATTCAATTCCCAGCAACCATATGATGGTGGTTCACAACCATCTATGATGAGATCTGGTGCCCTCTTCTGGCGTGCAGGCATACTGACTGACTGACAGAATAATGTATACATAATAAATAAGTAAATCTTAAAAACAAAAAAAGAAAATAGGACAGCTCTGAAACCAGCACCACTCTGAGCAAGCAATTCTTTAGAACTGATGCCTAAAGAAAACAAGAATATGATGTACCATATTGCTATTAATATTTAACAGAGTCCTGCAAATCTACCCAATAAAAAGTTGAAATCAAGGGAAAAGATAAATACTTAGGAGACACTAAATAAAAATATATCATTCAAAATTAGTAAATACCATAGAAACATAAAATTCCTAAAATTAGTCTTATTGAATAACACCTAAAGTTACATAAATAGATAAGATGACCACTTTGCAGAATATTTAATAGTTTAATTTTGCAAACAAACACTGTACCCCTAGAAGTTTCAAAGTTCAAAGTTAATGTTGCTGATCCACTTGGAATTAACTTTTTGTGAAAGGTGAGAAGTGCAACTCTAGTTTCACTCTTTTCCATGTCATTATACAGTTTCCCAACCTCATTTGTTAAAGAGACTGTCTCTTTTCCCATGTCTGCTTTGACACTTTTAACAAAGATTAAGTGGCTATGGCCATATAGGTTTCTGTCTCTATTCTGTGGGACTGGACCCTGTGTTGATTTTTATACTAGCACCATTGTGTTCTTGTTACTATGTTTCTGCGATATATTTCAGACAGGATACGCTGGATTCTCCCATATAAGTGATGTACATATGTAGTTTTGGTATCAGAATAATGATATCTCCATAGAATGATGTTGTAGTAATCAAACAATTAATAATAAATAAATAATTAAGAAAATGCCCTATATGGCTTACAGTTCAGTCTTTCCCAGGCATTTCTCAATTGAAGATTTGTTTTTTTGGTTTTTTGTTTAATTTACTGTGAATGAGATTTTCCATTATTTCTTTCTCAACAAGTTTATTGTTGGTGTACATGAAAATTATCGACTTTTGTATGATGAAAGTTTGTATCAGATCTAAAAGTTTTCTGATTAGAACTTTAGTGTCTTCTCTGGTGATATAAATAATTTTACTTCTTGCCTTTTTATTTATGCCCCTTCAATTTCTTTCTCTTGTCATATTGCTCTAGCTAAGATTTCAAGCACTATATCAAACAAAAGTGGAGAGAGTAGGAGGCCTTACCTCATTACTATTTTTAAAGGAAATATTATCAGGGTTTTTTTCCATTTGGTATAACATCGGTTATAAGTTTGTTATATGTAACCTGTATTTTGTTAAGATATGTTCCTTCTATTATAATTTTTTCAGTTTATATCATAAAGTGGTGTTGAATTACATGAAAAGACTTTTCTGTATCAAGTGAGATGATCATGGGATTTCTGTCCTTAAGATTATGTCATATTGCATTTATTAATTTGAGTCATTTTTGTACCAGTATAATGAAATCAACTTCATCATGGTATATTATTTTCTAAGGACATCTTTCATGTACTTTAGTTTGCATTGCAAGAGCTTTACTGGGAAATTTTTCATCTGTGTTCACCAGGGAAATTGACCCAGTCTTTGTGTTATGCACATATCTAGTTTTAGTATGGGGTAATGCTGTCTTGATGAAATGAACTTGTAATATCCCTTCCCTTTCTCTTTTATGGAGGACTTTAAAGAACATTAGCATTAGGTCTTCCTTAAATGCTTGATAGAATTTGGCAGTGAATCTGTCTGGCCTTAGACCTAAGTTTGTATTTATGTTTGCACATATAAGTGAAGGATATTAAAGTGGAACAGGCCTATTCAAAGGTAAGTAAGAAGTTTTAAAAAGGGGGAAACAAGAGGGAGTAATCAGTACATGAGTCATGAAAGCAGAAGGAAGGTCTGTCTTGGAGAGAGGAAAAGGGCCAGCAAGAGAAGGGAGCAATCAGGAAAAGCTGTGAGGAAGCAAATGAAGACATACATGTATGAGTGTATCACAATTAAACTCATATCTTCATATGCTACTAAAAACTAATAATAAAATATCATATTCTCCCCTAATTAAAGTTCATATTAAAAGATGTCATTCTTTCTAAATAATGCACATATTTTTACAAAATTTCAAATTCAAATACAAATGAAGTCTTTCCATTTATCTAAATGAGTCTAAGATTTATCTAGAAAACTAAAATGTCAATACTAGCTTTGAAAGCTGTTTTTAAAAAGTACTGAATGTGGACTTAGCCTACTACACATAAAAACTTTTATGAAACTACAATAATTTAAATTATGTGATAATAGCACAAGATCTGACAGATTAATAGTGTACCCTGAAATAAGGCTAAAAAAATAAAAGCTTAATGAAGAATGATAAGTGAAAAATTGCACACCATAAAAATGCTAGAAGTAATATTGGTGCACATAAAACTGATTTAAAAGCAGAGGGTACATCACCAAAGAAAAGACATAGATTTGACTGCAAAGAATTTGTATGTCATTGAAATAAACTTTAATGTAACATAAATGACATTTCAAAAACTAACTACAGAATTCTGCCAGGAAAAGTGAGTCCACCCTCCCCCCCCCGCCAGCAAAGCATTTAAAAGTAAGCTATGACCTTGGAAATATATTTTTAACCTATAAAAAGGATTATTTACACATCAATAAGAAAAATGAGAGCATGGTATATTTATTTTATACCACGTCTGTAATTAACGATACTGCAAGCTTAGTGTGTCTTAAAACTATTTGCTATTGTTTTACATTTCTGGAGGTCAAAATCCAGAATTATCCCAGTGAGGTAAAGTCAAGACTGACTTAAAATCAAGATGTACACAAGGGTTGCTCATCCCATTTTTCCCTATTTTTTAAACTGAAGATTATACTCTACTGCTATGCTATACCCAACTCACCTATTAGTTCTGAATGCTCTAAAAGAGATCACCTTCCCAGCTTTCCAAACTTCTAGAAGGTACCTACCTATATTTCCGGTTTCATGGCTGGTCCTCAGTCAGAACTGCAGTATCTTCCATTCTGATCTGACCCTCATCTCCATATTCATGACTCCTACACTAACTAACCCTTGAAGACTCCAGACAAAAATTCAGAACATGATGCATTTAATGCTACTAGGAGTCTGACAACCGGAAAACAAAATAATAGTGAGATGCTTGCATTGTCTAAAGAGTTGACACAGATTTTCTGAAACAGGAACACTTGATTTAAGCAAGAGAACTGTCCACACAATTACAGAGCATCAGATTTAGGAACTTTACACCATTTAGTCCAATAACTTGATTTCTCAAAATTCTTAAGGAATTAGTTAAAAAGAGATTTGGAATGTGTAACCTGAGTCTTGTCAGCAGTACTTCCAAGACTATTAAGTTAGAAACTACTTCCCACAATAAAACTTTTGATTAAAAAATAGGTTATACAAAAGCACATGATGGAGTCTTACAGTAATTAAAACTACATCTTCCAAGCTTTTTAGCAATCAAGGTTATTCTCACTACACACTGTGGATGACTACAAATATGCAGGAAGGGAAGCTACGTCTATCACAAAATATATGCATAGGAACTAACTTGGAGTCAGGGAGAATTAGGGTATTTTTATTTCCTTCATTATGCATTTATATTTTCTAAAATCTTAGTAATAAATATTATTATGGTTGTAATCATTTTAAAGGGTAATTAAAATGTTTCAAAAGCTAAGGATGACAGATGTTGGCCATTGAGCTTTCGATTCTAAGCAGGATAAGAAATAGAGTGTTATACGCCCCCAAACCACAGCTCCCACATGTCCATGGGAGACTAGCCATGCACGATTGCTCTCAGAAGCAAAGCCAACCAGCACACACAGCATCAGCATCACACAGTAACACAGGAGGCCAAGGAAGAAGTTGTGCCCAGCAAGACCAAGCCCAGAACCCAGATTCAGGGACAAAGCAGGAAAGGCTTGTGAGCACATTGCTGAGCTTCCCAGAGTCATGGGGGGGTGGGGAAACTAAACAAGTTTTGATTAAATTCTACCACAGGAAGAAGAAACTAATCTGAATGGATGGAGACCAGGCCAAACGGACACATCAGACAGCACAGTTCACGGCAAGACAGCTTCGTTTCAATGAATTAATAGAAAATTTTATGATAATAGAGTTTTTGTTAGTTTGCTGTTGTTTGCTCTGCTGTCTTTATTGCTCTGTGTTAATTATTAAAGCCTTGTGTCTACTAGGAACCCAGCTGTTAGAGTAACTTTGGTCGATAGAATTACTGTACGCTTTGCTTTTTGCATATGTGTGTGTCTGGTGTGCAGGGATGTATGTTTGTATGCTCACACATGTTTAAGTGCATGTACACATATGTGCAGAGGCCCAAGGCTGGTATCAGGAGTCTCCCTCCACAGTTCTCTCTTATCCATCAAGTCGGGGTCTCTCAGTTGAGCTCAGATGTTTCTAATATGGCTAATCTAATGAGTCTACTTGCTCTGGGAAGTCCCTATCTTGGGCTTCCAAGCACTGGAATTGCAGGCAGGCCACTTCACCCTCCTGGCATTTACATGGGTTCTGGGACTCCGAACTCTCTTTCTCATTCTTTTGGAGCAAATACCGTACCAACTGAGTCATCCCCCATTTCCTTTCTCTTCGGGTTACTTGGCTCATCTGTTTTTCAGAACTTGAACTTACAGCCAAGCACAACCATGTACTCATAAGTGTTCTTGATACCAATCAAGTCACCTGATGGAAACTACTTAAAGGGGGAAAGATTTCCTCCACTCACAGCTTCAGAGGCTTCAATCCATGGCTAGTTGAATCCACAGTTTAGATCCATTATAAGGCAAAGCATGGCGACAGTAGAGACATGTGACAGAGATCTGTTCTGATGGCAAACAGAAAGCTCAGAAACCAGTACAGAAAAAGGCCAAAGCAGCACGACGTCCCTATGAGCACAGCTCTGAGACTCACTTCCTCTAACAGGACTCCACCAATCACCACCTCCTAATGACGCCATGATATTCTAAATGATCAAAA